AGTCTTATGAACCATTAGACCAAATCCTTGAAATTTGATTTGCAAAATTTAATCGAAAAAATATGCATAATGTTAAGAATTAATTTTATATATGACAAGAAATCCAAAAATATTCTGAGTATTAAAAGATAGCCGTATAGAAACATTTTTATGACAAAATCTCGAAAAAAACAAAAAGTTTGTTGCTTAAAATCCAGCTACTTGCCTATATTCAAATAAAAGCAGGTCCTGATATGATTTCCAAACTAATGGTGGATAATCATATGGCTGATACTTCATTTCGTAAACTCTTCTTGCTTCCCATTTCCGTCATTTGCCCATGGTGCTGGCTGCTATAGGAAGAAAGTTTCCTCGTCTTAGAAGACAAAGAAGGGGACAAAAGCATAATGCAAGTCTCATCAATTTTGAACAAAAAAAAGAAAAAGAAAAAACAATTCCTTTAATTGATTATATTCTCTCCACTAGGCGTTTTTAGGAAGCTTCTCTCCGTCAGGCATTAATTAAAGTAGGAAACCAGGGCCTGCTCATGCTGTCTTAATCTAGGTACCACTATTTTACATACGTCGATATATGAGATATATTAATATGTTATTAATTGTTCTTTTCATGTGTTTGGACTGTAAATAACAATCGTGTCAAATTCAAACCTTGAAAACCGATCATTTTAGCGTAAAGGTTAAACATGTTAGGCAACAAGTTATGTTCGAATTAATTGACGCTGTGGCCGAAGAAAAAGAGAGACTGAAAATGGGATTTCACACTTAGTTGAAAAAGAAAAAAAAAAACAGAATTCCCCTTTTAAAAGGTTTTTCTAGCCTATTTACACATTGAGATTAAATATCTTTCTCGTAAGATTTTAGTCAATATAAATCATTTATATTCTTATTGGTGCATTTTACTTTTTTTTCCCTTAAATTAGGATTCAAAAAATTACAAGATGGTAATCCTTTAATAATAATAAAAAAAATTTATAGGTCAAGTTCAGAATTCGATTCTTATGATCAGTATTCTTAAAAATTTATTTTCAAAATATTTAAAATTGTACGTTGAAGAATGTTTTTTAATCATCTCTAAGAAGAAATTAATTTTAAAACATGAAAAAATACTCAAGAACACCTTTATCCTTGAAATAAAAAATTTGGATTCAAAATAATATCAAGACTAACAAATAGTTTGTGGCCTAATAACAAGTGAATTAAGTTCTAGATAAATTTTTACCTTTCTATAGAGTTTGAATTTTAAAATTTATCAATATATATTTTTAAATTTTTAATTACCGTGGAATTTCCTAAAACTGTTCCTCCATGGAGACAGGGCAAGGACCGGAGACAATGGTGCTAACATGGGATGTTGATAATTTTTATTTTTTTTGTTCTATACTTCTGATCCAATAAACTTGACCGTTGATCTTCCAACGACGACCCCACAATCAGCTCATTTTGTATTTTATTTCACAGAATTGGCTAACAGGCCTTTGCTAAATGACACGAGAATCATTGATATCAACATCAACGGTCAGATGACGCAGACAGTGGATGCCGAGGTAAATAAATGGAACCTGTGGTCACATTATACCGGGTTGTTGTTCCAGGCCCCACGATTAATATCACAATTGCTGCCAATAAATCATGAGTCATCTACCTTGCCTCCGATGATCACTGCCATGGAAGTGTTTACTAAGTATGATCTTGAGCAAGTTCAAGGAAAGAATACTACCGGTGATGCACAGGACATTTGTCCGTATCACGCATCCTTTTGATTCGCTTCCTTTTGATTAGTGTCCTGTGCTTGCTTGTTTACTTTATAGCACGAGAGATGCACAATTGATGTGATATGATTTTGCAAATTAATTTGCTGAGGATGCACAATTCATGTGATATATATTCAGTCACGTGACCTACGTGTTTCACCTTTTAACTTTTTATTTTTATTTTTTTCCATTTTAATAGGAGTATTTTGATTTAAAAAATTTTATTTGGTGAAAAAATTTAATAAAAAAATAAATTGAATATTTAAAATATTTTTGAAAATAAATGAGATACAATTAGAAATCTAAAAACACATCAAAGATTTTGAGTCTTACATTAAAACAAATAGATATTTACTTCTTCTTTTTTTCCTCTTTGTGTTATTTCGTTCAAAGTTATAATTTTAGGCCTTGGTTGGAAGTGGTGTGTGTGTGGACGTACATTTTCTGTCTTATTACTAAGTTTTAACTTCCTTTTTATTAAGACATTCTAAAGTTCGAAAGATGTAAAAATAAAAAAATAATATCTTCTATTATATAATTCAACATTTGTTAAACTTTTAGATTGAAAAAAAATATTTTAATTTCGAGTTAATATTTCTCTCAAATCCAAAATCAATCCTAACACGTAGAGTCGAGATTTGGGAGTAAGTATTGTATGAATAAACGGGCAAAAAATTCAAAACATATGATTTTTTTGGAGTCACGTTATAAGAAAGTGACAATTTGTAAATTCAATTCATGATTTACTTTTAGTTTTTTTTTAAAAAAATTAATAGTAAGATTATTTTTTATTAGTTTACACATCAATTGATATTAAATTTTTTTCTAACCGATTTTAAAAATATATTTCTTATATCGACATAGTACATTTAAAATAATTTAATAAATATTTTTATGGATGGTGACTTAAAGTTTAAATCTAAGAAGTTAATGAAATAAATAACTCTTATGAACCATTATAATAAATCCTTGAAATTTGATTTCCAAAATTTAATCGAAAAAAATGTATAATGTTAAGCATTAATTTTATATATGACAAGAAATCCAATAATATTCTGACTATTAAAAGATAGCAGTATAGAAATATTTTTATGACAAAACCTCAAAAAAAAAAAAAAGTTTGGTACTTAAAATCCAGCCACTTGCCTATATTCAAATAAAAGCACATCTGATATGATTTTCAAACCAACGGTGGATAATGATATGGCTGATACTTCACTTCATACACTCTCGTTGCTTCTGATTTCCGTCATTTGCGCATGGTGCTGGCCGTTGTAGGAAACGCGTTTCCTCTTTTTAGAACGACGATAAAGGCAACTAAAGCATACTGCAAGTCTCATCAATTTTCAAAAAAAAAAAATTCCTTAATTGATGATACTCTGCCAACATGGAGAAATTTCATAAGTAACTAGTATAAATTATTTTATTAAAAAAATAAACATAAAAAAATAAAAAATAAATTTTTTTGAGTGAATATGAATTTTTTTATTTTTTTAATACAGATATATTTTTTTATATATCTATCTTTTTTTAAAAAAATAAACTCATAAAATAATTATTATACCACCCCCCCCCCCCCCGCGTAGTTAATCCTTCAAATGTTATAAAAATTTTACTGTACACCAGGCATTTTTAGGAAGCCCAGGGCCCGCTCATGCTGTCTTAATCTAGGTACCACTAATATACATACGTCGATCTGTGAGAAATATTGATATGTCGTTAATTATTCTTTTCATGTGTTTGGACTGTAAATAACAACCGTGTAAATTCAAACCTTGAAAACCTAACGTTTTAGCGTAAGGTAAAACATGTTGGGCAGCACGTTAAGTTTGAAATAATTAAAGCTGTGGTCGAAGAAAAGGACAGTAATAGAAAATGGGATTTCACATGTTCTTGGAAAAAAAAAAACAGAATTCTCCTTTTAAAAAGTTTAGGGAGATTTTTCTAGCCTGTTTACACATTTAGATTAAATATCTTTCTCGGAAGATTTTAGTCAATATTAAATCATTTATATTCCTATGGGTGAACTTTATTGAAGTTTTCTTCTTCTTATTTTCTGTAAATTTGAATTTAAAATAATATTATTATTACTAACAAATTGTTATTTGTTGGTCTAGTAGTAAATAAGTAAATAAATTGATCCCTAGTTAAATATCGCGTTGAACCTTGAAATCCCACTTGCTGTAGCAATTGTTAGAATGTCACTAAATACTTTATAAATTTTAATTGCTGTGTAATGACCTAAAACTGTTCCTGCATGGAAACAGGGCAAGGATCTGTGACAATAGTGCTAACATGGGATATTGGCATATTTTTTTAATACTATACTTTCATGAGGTGTTATCTAATGTTCAGCGATTATGCATGGTTTAAGTACAACCACAGCAAATCCAGAGTTGGAAAAACAGTATAATCTAACGTGCTAATCTCCATCCCTCTCTCTCTCTCTCAAGAAATACGCGATGCATACATACCCGTACACAACCTAAGGTACAACGACCTTTTTATCCGTTCACACGGAAATCGCAACCAATCCCATCTACTAACATAGCTGTCTTCCTCATTTTTTTTTATATATATATTTTGTCTAGTTCTTCACCCACTGTGTCTGTCTCTCTCACCAACTTTATCTTTTCTTTTGAGTTCTTTTTTGTTCATTTACTTTTAGTTCTGTGAATTTGTCAAAACAAACGTTTGCTAAATGGAAAAACAAACATTTCTTTTTGGGTTGTGGTCAAATTAGTTAATTGGTGCTGGACTGCAACGTGCTGCTGCATAATTTATATGCCACTTCCGTTTCCATGTTGAGGAAGTCAGTCACATGACTCTGAAGATTTTTGTTGCTTTTGAAGTATCGGGATTGGTATTCGTTAATATACAATGATTTAGCTCAGTTCCATTCTTGATTTTTTTTATATCATTTGGGTTGTTGATATTTTGAGGGGGTAATTATCAACATATCATACAGCGTTCCTGTCACACTTTTCTGCTTGTAATCGTCCCAGGTTTGTCACTTCTGTTTTCATTTCTTTCATAGTTAGCATTGAAGTCTCAGCTTTGGTAGTGCTATTGGAATCTTTTGTTGGCCACTTCTGTTTCTATAGCAGCCTCAGTTCTGCCTCTTTTTTTTTGTTAGTTTTTATCTCAGCTTTGACTGTTGTTTTGTTACAAATCCCAGCTTCAAAAGTTCTGTTGAGTTTGTTAATCTGATTTTTCTCCAAGTTCTGATCTTTCTCTGTAGTTCTAAGTCATGGTGAATATCTACAGATGTGAATTGCTCTTCTTGGTTGGTTCAATTTTGTGTTTAGTATGTGTTTCATTAGGATATGTTCCTGAAGATAACTATTTGATAGATTGTGGATCCTCTACAAATAGTTCAGTAGGGGATCGGGATCGTGTATTTGTAGCTGATCAATTCTATTCCAACGTCCTTTCAACCCCACACAGTGTTTCTGCCAATACTAGTTCAATTTCCATCTCTTCAACATATGATTCTGCTCTTTATCAAACTGCAAAAATATTCAATGAGAACTCTTATTACACCTTTCCAATCAAGAAACCCGGGCGACACTGGATTCGCCTTCATTTCTTTCCCTTTGTGTATGGAAACTATAATTTGAGCATGGCAAAGTTCTCTGTGTCTGCTCAAAATTTCACACTTATTAAAGAATACCAATTAGAGAATCCTCCCAATGTTAAGGAATACTCTGTCAATGTAACTTCTGGCAGTCTCATTCTCACCTTTACCCCTTCTGTCAATTCATTTGCCTTTATAAATGCATTAGAAGTTTTTTCTCTCCCCGACGAGCTGATTCCTGCTGGCGCTAGGACCATTAGTAGTCTGCAAGGTAACTACAAAAATCTGTGGAAGCAAGCATTAGAGACAGTTGAGAGGGTTAATATGGGCAACAAAACCGTCTCTCCCCAAAATGATACCTTGTGGCGACTTTGGGTTTCTGATGATGAATATCTGAGACACAAGAATCTAGTAACATTTGTGCCAAATGTCAAAGCCGTCAATTTCACAGGAGGAGGGCCGACCGAGAACATTGCTCCCTCTTCTGTCTACGGGACTGCTACTAGATTGAACTCAGATTCTGATCCTAATTTCAATGCCAATGTGACATGGATTTTTGATGTTGATCCTGGTTTTGAGTATCTGGTTCGGTTTCACTTTTGTGATATATTGAGCAATCCTAAGCCCAGGCTCTACTTCAATGTCTACATTGGTTCTTGGCTAGTTTCTCAAAATCTTGATCTTCTCAAACTCGCACCCTCCTCGGGTGCTCCATATTTTATGGATGCCATCACCAGGGTAAGTGACACTCGAATGCTAAATGTAAGTGTTGGCCCTTCTAATGTAGGCAACCCTGACCCAAATGCCATTCTTAATGGGTTGGAGATCATGAAAATAAGCAATTCTGAGGATAGCCTCGATGTCTTAGACTCTGTTTCCTCAAAAAGTTCGAAGACAAAAGTTATTATTGTAGCGGGCTTGACTGTAGGATTGTTTATCGTTGTTGTTTTTGGTTTGATTGTCTTTCTGCTGTGTCGAAGAACGAAACGAGACCATGTTGACCCCTTGAAATCAGAAGGCCACTTTCCCATGAGTGGAGGAGGTGCCAATCAATACTTCAACGGGGCTAACATCTTTTCCACTTCAAAATTTGGGTATCGCTTCCCTTTCATGGCTATCCAAGAGGCTACCGATAACTTCTCTGAGAGTTTGGTTATTGGGGTTGGTGGCTTTGGAAAGGTTTACAAGGGAGTTCTGAGAGATGAGACCACGGTGGCAGTGAAGAGGGGAACTTCACAATCACAAGGCATCGCAGAATTCAGGACTGAGATTGAAATGTTATCTCAGTTCCGGCATCGGCATTTGGTCTCTTTGATTGGATACTGTGATGAAAGGGATGAGTTGATCATAATATACGAGTACATGGAAAATGGGACTCTGAAGGATCATCTGTATGGCTCAAATCATCCCAAACTAAGTTGGAGGCAACGGCTTGATGTATGCATTGGAGCAGCTAAAGGACTTCACTATCTCCACACTGGCTCCACAAGGGCTATCATTCATCGCGATGTCAAGTCTGCAAACATACTACTGGATGAGAATTTCATGGCCAAGGTTGCTGATTTTGGGCTTTCAAAGACTGGTCCTGAAATGGATCAGTCACATGTTAGCACAATGGTAAAAGGAAGCTTCGGATATCTTGATCCAGAGTACTTGATAAGGCAGCAACTGACAGAGAAATCAGATGTTTACTCATTTGGAGTCGTCATGTTTGAAGTTCTTTGCGGGAGACCTGTTATCGATCCATCAGTTTCAAGAGAAAAGGTTAACTTAGTTGATTGGGCATTGAAGTCTACGAGAAGAGGACAATTGGAGGAAATTGTAGACCCTCGTCTTGAAGGTCAAATTAAGCCAGATTCATTGAAGAAGTTTATTGAGATAGCTGGGAAGTGCTTGGCAGAATGCGGTGTTTATAGACCTTCAATGGGAGATGTCTTGTGGAATTTGGAGTGCTCCCTTCAACTCCAGGGGAATGAAGAGAGGTCAAGCAACAACTATCAGATTTCAACACAATTTAATCGTGGAAATAGCTTTGAAACCAGAGTATCGGCCAGAGAATTCAGCGTGGGAAGTGTCAATGACCTTGATGGCGATTCGATGAGTAAAGTCTTTGCTCAAATGGTGAGAGAGGAAATGAGGTAGACTGCAGGGAAGCCATGAAGTGGCCTTTATTGCTGAATATAATCTCAGAAAGCGAGGCTAAAAGATTATATTGTACAGGAAGAGTGGGTTAAAATCTGTTGCAAGTATATTGGATGTATTTGAATATGAAGTAGCTTGATTTTGTATCTTGTCAAGAGATTAAATGCATAGCGCATTCCATGAGTCCACCTGCTTGTATGGGTGTTATTGATTTCCTTCTCAGTTTTTTGTTTGTTTGTTTGTTTTTTTTTTTTTTCCCCTCTTTGTGGGATGTTGTATGTTCTTTATTGACCAAGGGCTTTCTCCAAGAATTCAGTGCTTCATCTTTTTCTTACGCGTTTTCACTTTTCGTATAAGATATATCATCTAAGCTTCTTCTGCTTTCTACTCTACTTAGTAGTTGATGATCCACCTATACCTTAAAGCTTGATATCATGAAAGAAAAAGAGATGCTCAGATACAGAATAGTGAATCATGGAGCTGAACTAACCATACAAAATACTTGCAGAAAAAAGAGGGACAACATTGAAGACATTTAATATTCGGTGAATTTCACACCATTAGAGTTCTCTATATTAATGTATATATAGGTTACAGAATGTCTATATAATAAGTACAAGTGTTGAATAGAGTTCTATTCTATTTACAATTTTATATCTCATTACAATCCTATAATTCTCTCTCGAGTTGAGTAGAAAAATGTTAAACTATCAACTTGTCTTGTAAGCACCGAAAACATTACCGGAAAGAGTTTTAGTTAGGAAATCGGGTATCTAATCTTTTGTGGAGATCTACCTTACTAAGATATGGCCCTTATGAGACAATCTATATAATAAGTACAAGTGTTGAATAGAGTTCTATTCTATTTACAATTTATACCTCATTACAATCTTATAATTGTCTCTCTAGTTGAATAGAAAAATGTTAAACTCGTCAACTTGTCTCGTAAGCATTGAAAACATTGCCAAGAAAGAGTTTTAGTTAGGCAATCGGGTATCTAATCTTTTGAGGAGATATACCTTACTAAGATATGGCCCTTACCGACATGATTACGTGTAAAATGAAAATTGATTTTCAAGTGTTTTAATCGCAAATGAAAAACTCGGGTTAGGTTTAAGTGTGTTGCACTCAAATTATCACACCGTAGGATTAGAGCCAATGAGGACAATAAGTTTAATTCACTAAGCAAATTATGTAACCAAATTACCTAATATGTCGCAACGAAACAAAGCTCTTTACTCGGCTTTAATGAAAGATTTAGATAATGTGCGTTGTTTACGTGAGCTCCAGGATATAAAATTAGTATAAAAAAATATAGCATAGTTGTATTAGATTTTCTATCATCAATGCTACCGACCTAATCGAGCATCATTATAAGCGAAAAGGCGAAGAGATGATGAATTATAAGCGTAAAGGCGAAGAGATGATGAAGGTTGAAGAAAAATACCATGTATTCCGAAGGAATTCAAATATCACAAGATTTGTTTGATCGCTTGTCAATGATCATTAGTAGGACAACGCATGAATTGAGAAACCTTATTCATAGGATAAGAAACATCGGGACGATTGAGTATAAGGTAATGAAGATCGCCCACCACACTTCGTATAAAAATGGATCGAAAAAGGATCACCACTAGATGTAATGAAGTTTTGGACATGTTGGAGATGTTAAATAATTGCTAGTTTGCATTTTGGATTAATGAAGAAGATCTTTGATATATTTCCTTTGAGTTAGAAGAAGGTCATTTGTTTTCTTGGTTGGTTCAATGCCAAGAAAATAATGTAATCTTCCAATGTCTTTTAAAGCAAAACAACCTTTCAAGACAACAATCACATAACCAAAAAAGACAAAACAACTACCTATTAATAACGAAGTTATCAACATACACCAAACAAGTAAGCAAGGACATCACTGTTCTAATAATAAAATAGGAAGGTATTTGTAACATCCATATCCTAAAAAAGCTTTATTATTCATACATGCATGCATATATAAAGGCATACATGGATAAAAACCGATATACATATGACATATTATAAGGGTTTAAGAAATATATTTAATAGTCAAAGGGGTTAAGTGTCAAGTTAGACTTAGTTGAGGGATTTATTATGAACTTCACTAAAATACCTATATAAACCTATCCTATAGTTCCTTACACTCTTCCAAGATCAAATTTTTATCATTTTCATCACCATGGTTGGCCACCCTTGTGTGAGAGAGAGAGTTTGAGTTGTTCATGGCTAGTTGAAGAGAAAGGTTAGAAAAGAGTGAAAATCTAGAGAAATATCAAGAGCAAGAAAAGAATCATAAAGGAAACCTAAAACCAACCTAAAGCCATCTTAGAGCAAGAAGAAATCAAGGGAAAGAGTTGATTTGGAGGAGGTTAACTCGAGATTTAGAGAAATTGAGTCAAGTTCTTGATCAATCTTGAAGAAAGGTGAGGTTTTTTTTTATGATTTTTGTTAAGTTCTTATTCTGTCTTGATTTTGAATTGCAATTTTTGATATTTTAAGGTTAGAATTTGAGTTTTTTTTCAAAACATTAAAGTCTGTAGATTATGATATTATTTAGTAATTTACCAAATTTGAGACAAAACAAACAAGTATATTTTTCTCTATGCTTCTCACCATCTAACTATTACATTATTAGGCGAGAAAATTCTACATCAAAGGCTAACTTCATAAAATTTTCATAAATTGTGTACTTGGAATTTGAGGCTTATTTTTGGATATGTTATAGTAATAAGAGTCTAGTCTCATACAAAACTAGAATCAAGTCATTTGGATCTGCATTTTGAGAACTAAGGCTAAAAAAGTAAGGAAAGGTGTTGTTGTCGAAGGGGTTAGGTTGATCGGAGTTTCATATTTTTCACTTTTTAGGAGTTTTTAAAGTTCATGTATGATAAATTAACTTATGAGATGATCTATATGTGTTTTAGTCCCCGAAGAGCATGAGGTATAAGATGTGACGCGTTGAAGAGCGAGACGAGACTCCATTTTTGTGAGTGGATATATTCGATATACTTAATGATTGTTTGGTGCCATGTTTTCTTGTTTGCTACTTGATATTAATGATATGTTTCTAAATGATATGGTGAATCAATGCTTGTATATGATTCATGATATGACTTATTTATGATGATATGCACAAGTATATATTATATGAGACATTTATGATGCATACATGATCGAAGGGTTAAGGTTATGACTAGCATGTTCAGGTATTCACAAATACAAGTTATAAGGACTTAATGGATCAAATACAAATCATAAGAGCTGACCAGCAATACAAGTTTACAAGTTTTAAGTTAAAAGCTTCGGAATAATACTTGACATGTTTAGGTCATAATCGATAAGAAAAGGATACATGTAACATGATAATGCATGAATTTGTATGACTTATTTATATGCTCTTATTTTATGATATGAATGCGTGTTATGGTATCGATGATGATTATCTCTCTTTGAGTAGCATCTCGTTAAAAATGCAATTTCATTTCATTTTAGGTACAAAGAAGGCAAGAAGTTAGAGTTTATCTCTTTTCGTTGCTCATTGATCGTTATGAGCGACAAATTGGCTAACGACCTCCTTCCCTCTCTCTCATCATGACAAACATTTACATTATAATGAGAATTTTGATTATATATAATCTTATATGATGTAAATGTGACATGATAAAAGATAAGAACGGGTTATGTAAATGGGTTTTACTTGTATTAGCCATAGCTTGTTTATGTGAAAAGAATGATGTTAATTCTAATATATTTTAATTAACTAGGCTATGTAAATAAGTCTAGGATGTTACATATCATCCTTGGAGCCAATGAAACCAAGAGCTACTAAGACATCAAAAAGATACCTAAACCAAGAACGAAGAGCTTGTTTGAGACCATAGAGACTACATTTGAGAAGACAAACATGATTAAGTTTATGATCATCTACAAAGCCTCGAGTTTGTGTCATAAATACTTATTCATCAAGCTTCCTATGCAAAAAAGCATTAGAAACATCCGATCGGATAACATTGTAATTTTTTAAAATAGCTAAGAACAAAATTAAATGCACTTATAGTGGATTTGATGACTGGAGAGAAAGTTTATATATAATCAATATGTTGTTATTTATGAAACTCTTTAGCAATAAGTCGAACCTTATAGCACTTAATACTTCCATTAGCCATGTGTTTTGTTCGATAAACCTATTTAGAACCTTAACATTTTGAGTTGGATGCGATAGAATTAAGACCCATGTGTCATTAGCAAGTAAAACATTTACCCTTTTTACCATAAGCATGTCTCCATACACTTGACTTTGACACTTAAGTGTATGTTTGAACATCCATCGGAGGCTCGCTATACTAAAAAATGTTTTGGGCTTTAATGATCTAGTTTTGGATCTAATGATTATATAATGTCGCATATAGTAGTGAGACATGAGGAAACGCATTTCTTTTAGATCCAAGAAGTGATGAATGTGTTAGAGAAGAAGTAGAATTAGTCAAGTCCATGACAATATGGATACCTAATCATGAGGAACTACTATATGGAGTTGGGCTACTTATATCGATGGGTCGTCGAAGTGGACTCGTAGGGAAATATGAGGATAGTAGAAAAAAAATAATTGCCGACAAAGGTGTAATAAAGAGACATGTGGGTGAGACAAATTATGCATCTATCATGGATGAAGTAGAAGAACAAATAGATGGCAAATGGACACCATACCTTCCAACATGCTAAGTGTACGAGAGGAGAAGTAGATTATCGATGAAGTAAATAAGGTTTTCATAGTTGATTGAGGAGCAATCTAGGAGAGGCTGATTGGTTAGGATGAATGCTAGACATAGAAAATGAAAACCCATGTTTAGAGAATATTACATACCGATAAACATAGACTTTACAATTAGAGATATCCGAACAAAAGTATCCTTTATAAAGGAGCAAGTTTGTTAGCAGATATAGGCTACCACCGTGGGTAACACACATAACCAAAGGTTTTGAGA